ATGGTCATCTGACTCAAAATGCCCCATGCCAGTCCATCTCATCTCTCCAATGCCTAATATGTCAATATTTATGCGTTCCATTTCTTTCTTAACTAGTTCTAATTTTCCTACATTCATGGCTCTCACATTCCATGTTCCAATCACTAAGGTCTGCTTACAACTGTTCCTCCTCCTTTGTATTTCCATACTTGATAGTTCTACCTAGGTTGACCTTTCTCTTAGTCTGCGTGTGTTCTGTTGTGCATAGGGTTTTCAGAGGCCTGCTATTTCAGAAGTGGGTGGCCAATCCTTTTTCTAGATATCTACTATATATTTAAAAATATGGCTAGAGACCAAAAATAGCATTTGACTGCATTTTTAATCTTCTGCCAATCCATGGCGAAAAGCCCAGTAAAGAAACATAGTTTAATTTAATTAAAGAGAAACATTAAATATAACAAATCTATATTATAATTTGTATTAGGGGAAATATAAGTGTCATAATAAGCATAATGAAATATGTAAATAAATCTAAATTCCTAGCCGTGAAATGTCACAAGACAAGGAACAATTGTATTCCATAGTTACTATCCTACATGGGAAACTGAAGATGATCAGGCACTTCAAAACTTAAAAATCACAGAATAACCATAAGAAATTCACAATCAATGCATCAGTTTGGAGTGGGGATAATTTCTTAGACTAGAAATTCCCTTATTTTTTATCACTTTTTGGGGAAACTGATGCATCATATTGTTCAGTTATAGAAAAAATCTTCCAAACCCATTGCTTTCCTTGTGAAAGTCTATAAAATGTAGGGGGGAAAGTTATTATCAGAGAGGATATTTATTATAATCAACACTTAATGTATCAAAACACATTTCATGTATGTATGTACTGGACAATTTCTATAATTTGCCATTTATTATTTAATTAATAAAATGATCTTTGCTGGGAGAGAACAGGAAGCAATGTAAGAAGCAAAATACCTGATCAGGCAATGGGAAAGAAATAAATGGATAAGATTTATTTGGATTTAAGAGGTACTTATACATGTAGTAAAACTGAATGTTTTATTTCACCTCGTATGGAGAAAAATTTTAAATGCTTTTCGCATATTATAAAATTATTTAATTATTATTTTAAACTAAGTTGTAGGAAGAACTTAACTTTTATTATACTCTCTAGCTTCACCTATATTGTTTTCATAAGTATTGGTAAAGTGCAAGTTGCATATAAAATAGAATATTTAAAAAAATTAACTTTGTCAAAATAATATGTAAGGCTATTTTGTCAACAACATATAAAATGAAGAATGCTTTCAAGATGGGAGAAAGTAATTAATGGGCTAGTCCTTTTAAATGCTGCTTATAGTCTCTTTTCCTTATTATTAAATCTGTTTGTGTTTTCTTCTTTATACCTTAGTGTGTTCAACTTTATCTTATATTTTATTCAGATGAGGCTGAAGTTTTTCTTTTTTATCTAAGTTCAGTGGAAAATTGAAGGGAAAAAAATACGTCTTTGTAGCACAATTTTTCAATAGAACAATCATAATCCCACCAGTTTTCACAGAGCATTCTTTCTCCAAATGGCTAGATGCTAAGAATGCTCTATGACTACATGGAAATTTTATTAAATGTGCCTTCTGTGATAATAGCTATAAATTTATTCATTGCATTTTTCAGAAGAAATTGCTTTGAAATTTTCACAGAAAAAATTGAAGGGAAAAAAATTACCGAACTGTCCAGGAAGCCATTCCCATCTGTATCATAAAGGCGAAACATAACTAGAAATAAAAGAGGTAGTAAAAAAAAAGTTATAGTCAAATAAGATTAATGTTAGTTGCAGATACATTTTTAAAAAATTTATTTTTTAGTTGAAAAAGCTATACTATCCCTTCCCTCCTCAAAGCAATCTGTGGTATTGTCTCTTAAGCTCCACTGAAACAAAATTAACATAAATGAAAACACTATTTATGATTAATGAATCCACCAGTTGCTCCATAGGAGATGTATGGGCAAAAGCCTCCTGTGCAAATAAACTGCCTCTGAAAACCTACTGGAGGGGCAGCTATGGGTCAGTTCCAACTCGATGATACACAACAACAATATAAATATTGTATATTTTAAAAAAAAACAAACAAAAATCCAACCTCAGACTCACTGTCATCAAGTTGGAACTGACTCACAGGTGATATTCCGGTGGGTTTTTGGAGACTGTGAACCGCATGGAAGAAGATTACCCACCTTTCTTCTGTGTAGCCGATGGTGGTTTGCACTTGCCTGAGAAGATCTGCCTTCAGGTTAACATGCACTGCCTTCTAACCACTATTCTATTACAGCTTCTTCAAGTCAATAAAGTGCCATTTATACCTAGAAAATGTTTTAGAGTCCCATTTTTTAGTCTAGTTCTTTATTTCAACATCAGTCAATGGAGACTGAAAATATAACAGAAGTAGTCTAGACAATATGAATGAGATATTAAAGACCAGAATGGTTAGGAAGAAAATAGAATTTATTTATTTATAGGGATTAATTTCAATCTGAAATCTAACATCCATCATGTGAACATTTTTTTTTCTTTTCTGAATAATGAGGAAAAACAAACACTGATGCATTAGCACACATGTGTCGTGAAGATTAATTTACACAAATATATATATGAAATCTGTAAATCCATTTACAAATAGAATGAACCCATGCTATGATTGGTCTTCAAACAGTATGTGAGAGGAAAAGGAAGTGTAAAAGAAAGAAGTCTTTATGAGAAAGGATACCACGACATAAAATGCATTATTAACTCTGGTTATAATGGTTTATTTGTCTGACTCTCAGATGGAGCTTCATAGAGTAACTGATGTTTGAACTAATAAAGTCATAGTAAAGAAAGTATTAGCTCAGTAGGAGTAATCTCAGGAAGGCAGGATGACAAAGATTTAGGGTATTCTGAGGTTTCCTTTGTATAATTCACACAACTCCAGGAGCCTCTGGAAGAGGCTGCAGGTGTCGTTTTGAGACAAACAGAGAAGAATGACACAGCTGTAAAAATAGAGGAGTTGAAGTGAGGCTTTGTATTAAGTTTGTACAATTTCCTGGAGAATCATTATGTCTTAAGTGTATAAAACTAATAATGACATTGACAACTAAGATATAATTGCAATGATCTTGACCATATCCAGTTACTAATTATTACTTTGTTCATGTTAAAATTATATTTCACCAGACTTTTTAATTATTTATAAGATGTAATCTTAGTCCTTAAATCACCAAAAGGGAAAACATATATTACCAATATAGCTATAATAGATATTTTATTTTTTATATTTAAGCATATTTGAAGGATGTTAAAAAGTGAGAGGAAAATGTGGAGCTGAGACATTAATTAAGGCAATTGATGTTAGGTCAACTAAAATATTTAAGTATCTTTAATTCAAATCAAGATAGCTTTTCTAATATATTCTTAATAAATTAACATAAAATGCAGCCATTAAAGAAAATCTCCCACAATGTATACACTAAGCATTTTGCAATTTTCCAAAACAGCAGCAAATGCTAAAAATATCTTTTTAAGTGGCAATAAATCTTAGGCCATTCAGAGGAAGGGCTAACTACTAAGAACATGGCAAAAATTTGTAGTAACTTAACTCTATTTTAGGATGAAGAATGCTGTAACTCTGCTGACACTCGCTGGAATAAAGAACTGATAGATTGTGTTTTATCATTTTAATCTATGCATGCTGGAAGACCTTGTCTTCTATTGGTAGACCTCTTGAATTTTAGGAACATGTATATTTGCACACAGTGGCTAAGATAGATTCTGTCATTTATTTGGCAATATCTGCAACTTATTCTTGCATTGAAAAGTCACTACTTTATGAAGCACAAGAGAAAATTAAAAAGCCAGATTATTATTTTTTTAGTAGTTTTACTTGGATTCACAGTTAACTAACAGCAGTCACCATGTTTGTAGGAAGAGTCATCAATAGCTTGCTTTATGAAGATGACAATCATGCTTCCTGAAAGTAAAGAAGACTTGAAACACTTACTGCAGCAGATCAAAGACTCCAACCTTCAATGCAGATTATATTTCAACACACCATCAGGAAAACAAAAATCCTTACCACTGAACCAATAGAAAACATAGTGATAGATGGAGAAAAGATTGAAGTTGCCAACAATTTGATTTTATTTGTATCCACAATCAACATCCATGGTTAGCAGTAGTCAACAAATCAGAAGTTTGATTTAGGAATATCTGTTAAGGGCATCTACAAAGTGCTAGAGAGCAATAATGTCAGTTTAAAGACAAAGTTTCTCCTGAACCAACCCATAGTCTTTTCAATCACTTGCTCTGCCTCTGAGAGCAGGATAATGAACGAGGATGGCAGAAAAAGACTTGGATGCCTTTAAACAGAGGTGTTGGAGAAGAATCCTGACTATCTCATGTACTGCCAAGAACAAATGAATCTGTCTTGAACTAAGTGCAATCATGCTACTCCTTTTAAGCAAGGATGATGGATCTTTGTCTCTTTGAGATTATTTTAGAAGAGGACAGTCCCTGGAAAAATACTTCATGCTTGGAAAGGTGGAATGTCAGAAAAAGAGAGGAAGACTCTCAACAAGATAGATTAACACAGTGACATTAACAATGGGCTCAGACATACCATAGATGTTAGAGATGGCATAAGATAGGACAAAGTTCAGATCTGCTATTTTAAGAGTAACTGTGAGTCCTAGCCAACTCAATGGCACTAAACAACCAGATTTCGCAAGCTACGCACTACCACTCAGCAGCAGAACCTCACATTTATCACTCAAATGTTAGTACCACATAGAAAAAGAGGGCTACACAGAATCCACCTTGGTGATGGAAAAGGGCAGGAACAGTGCTGGCATTAGTCATGCACATCAGCATCCAGAAGCTTATATGCATGGGTAAATATTTCAAAGAAGTGTAACACCTCTGTGCCAAGAAAAAGTAAACATTGCTAAGAGAACATACATAGTAGTTTCACAAGACATCATCAGAGGACCTTCCAACTGACAAAGAAAGGAACACCAAGGATGGTGTTAGAGACTGGAAATTAGACAGGAAATCCAAGGAAGGAATTGACAGGGCCAAGAGCCAGATTTGGATGTTGACCATTCTAATTTGTGACTAAACAGATTACAGTTCTTTTAAGTCACTCTTTTGTGTACTTGCTTTCAGAGTGCAGGATAGCTACTAACAGCTTTGGTGCACAGGGCTTATGGATTCAGCTAATAACAAAAGGTTTATACTTCGAACCCTCCATGGGAGAGTAATATGGCAATCTACTTTCATAAAGATTAAAACATTGAAAACTATCAAGCAATCAATGCTCTTCTTCCTTGTACAGTCAGTAGGAGTCAGAATCCACTCTATGCCACTGGGGAAAGTAACTACCACTCACACACAGTCACACACACAGACATAGACACACACACAGACACACATGGAAGTTCTACTCCTTTAACTAAGGAAACGGACTTTAACTTTGTCAACCAATTCATGATAATATCACTCCTCCCTCAGGTAGAATATTGAAAGCAGTCCTTACAAAGAACATTACCTGGAGAAAACAAACAACATGGGGAGGATGAGTGTGGGTGCAAATTTAAAAGCACAGAAAGCAGGATATCTGAAATTAAAAGGATGATGGTTGTTGTTGTTGTTATGTGCCATTGACTTGCCTGCAACTCATAGCAACCCTGTCTACAACAGCTCTAAACCCTGGTCTATCCTGTGCCAAACTTACTGTCTCTGACACAACTATTTCCACCACCCTAGTGACTAAATTAATTCATCTTATCTAGGGTCTTCCTCTCTTGCACTCTCACTTCACCCTCCCAAGCATGATGTCTCTCTCCAAGGACTGGCCGCTCCTTGCAACATGTCCAAAGTATGTCAGACGAAGCTTCAGAATATTTGTCTCCAAGGTCTCATCCTTTCTAGGATGGAACTGTATGTTCTCCTAGCAGTCCATGGTTTATTCAATACTCTTCTCCAGCACCACAGTTCAAAGAAATAAATTCTCCTTTTATCATCCCTAGTCGTTGTCCAGCTTTCTGAATGCATAGCAAGTAATTGTAAAGCCTATGGCATGGATCAGGTGAACCTTAGTCTCCAGACTAACATCATTGATCTTCTGTACTATGGAGAAGTCTCTGACAGCAGACTTTCTCAATGTAATTTTTCTTTTAATTTCCTGGCTGCTCGTACTACGAGTTTTGATGGTAGAGCCAAGCAAACTAAAGCTGATAACAATCTCAATCACTTCACCATGTATCATGATGCTGCCAGTTGGCCCAGTGAGAATCTTTGTTTTCTTCATGTTCAGTTTCAATCCATATTGAAGGTTGAGGTCCTTGACCTTCTGCAGCAAGCACTACAGGTCCTCCTCAATGTCAGCAAGTAGGGTTGAGTCATCTGCATAACACAGATTGTTGATGAGTTTTCCTCCAATCCTGATGACCCATTTCTCATCATTGAGCCCAACCTCCTGGATAATCTGTTTTGCATATAGTTTGAAAAGGTATGGAGACAGGACACATTCTTGTCATACACCCTTCCCAATTTTGAACCATGCAGTGTTTCCTTGCTCTATTCTGACGACTGCCTCCTGATCCAACTATAGGCACAATCAAGTATTCTGATATTCTTCATTTTTCTCAGAGTTAGCCACAGCTTGTTGTGACCCACAGAGTCAAATGCCTTTGCATAGTCAATGAAACACAGATAGACATTCTTCTGGTACTCTCTGCTTTT